CTTGACATTGTGTCGACGCATTCTCCTGGTTATATATGCACACTTTCTGGCGAACAGGTGATCGATATATTTGATCAGGAGTGTCTGCCTTCTCTTTTCTTATGGAACAGGAATGGGTGTGTGTTGGCTTCTTTAATCATGAGTGAAGTCATTTATTTTTTTGGAATCCAATTTCTGTTTTTTTTTCTCTTTTTTTAATGACTATTTGAATCGGCCCGTTTGTTTGAGATCCTGCATCAATAAGAACCAGTTAGTTCGGCGCCTTTGATGTGCAGTTCTGCCCTTTTTCCACCACTTCAAACAGAATACTTTGATGCAGAGCAAGAGGAGCCAAATGCAAATCTTTCTGGCTTATTTAGAAAGTTTACAACTAATTAGAAACAAATAATCCTTCTCAATGCTTCCTATTACAACCAGTATTACTTTGGTTATGGTGACGAGTGGTGCAGAAGGTGCAGCTTATAAATGTGGACAAAACAATCTTTAATAGCTGCAATTAGCAATAAAATTGCCACAAACAAACAGCTTACAAATTGTTCTTTTTGCTAGAATACTAAAGGAATAGTTTAAAATGAAGATAGCGACAAAAAAGCTCCAAAATAAAAAATTAAACATGTAGCAAGTGACAAAAACACATTTTGATTAGTACTTCATTCTGTTTTATCTTTATGTGTTTCTTGAGCATAATATTTGGATTATATTTATTACTATAACAATTATGTTTTGTGGACAGTGGCACTTTTGGAAGACCAAAGTAAAAAATAATCCTGCTAAAATTCAAGCGCTTTTTCTTGCCTCAGGTAAAGTTCAGTTTGCCCTGCTGTAGAGCTTGCTGCTAAAGAAACTTTAAAAAGCAATGGAGTTTAACTTGTATGAGCTCTTATCATTAGAATGAGACAAATATGCTTTTGGCCTGGACTGGAGACCACAGTAAAGTCTCAAAACTAGACGACACGTTGACTCAGTGAGGGAGATTGTGACCAAAATGAACTGCCTGAAATTCTCTGCAGAGGCTGCATAAGCTGCTATAAACTTCTAATTTGAACAGTTTGTAGCTGTGTATTTTACCCATCATGTGTGACTGAAACATCTTTAAAAGACTGAAAAGAAAAAGAGCCAATATAAACTAGTAACACCGTGTGAATATGCTTGTTCCACAGAGATTCGGGAAGCTTTCAAAGTATTTGACAGAGATGGGAACGGCTTTATCTCAAAGCAGGAGTTGGGAATGGCCATGCGCTCACTGGGCTACATGCCGAATGAGGTGGAGCTGGAGGTTATCATCCAAAGACTCGACATGGATGGTCCGTCTCTCACTCTTTTTCTGCTGCATACGGTCTGGTACATGAGCTCTGCTGTGACAAGTTTCTGTCTGTTACATCAGGTGACGGCCAGGTTGGCTTTGAGGAATTTGTCACATTGCTTGGTCCGAAGCTCTCTGCTGCTGGGATGCCTGACAAGTTCCACGGTGCAGACTTTGACTCCGTGTTTTGGAAGGTAGACTCAGTCATCACCGGTATTTTAAGGAATAATAATTCAATCAATTAGAGTAGGCTGCTGTTGTCACGTTGCAAAATTGGAGTTATTACAGAAAATCCTGCCAGTCATTCTGATACTGGAATTGACTTATTGTAATTTTAACTTCAAAAATTCCCTTTTAATCATGCAACACATTTGATCCAGAAACAAAATTTCATCAGTTGTCTCAGGAAGATGTGAAAAAAAAAAGTAATTTGAAAGAATCTGAGACAGAGCTAAGACAGAAGTGAGTTCCTTTGTCTTTTGAACAGTGTCTGATCAAAGCTGGCGATCAGGGATGGGAGAGTGGAGGGGAAATTTCTCCTCCTAATTATTTTCTGTGTTCCCAGTGCGACATGCAAAAACTGACAGTAGACGAGCTGAAAAGACTCCTGTACGACACTTTCCGTGACCATCTCACCATGAAAGACATTGAGAACATCATCATGACTGAGGAAAACCACCTGAACAGTCCGGAGTCTCACGTAGATATTGACAGTATGTTCAATCAATTTCCTCTTTTTTTTAATCTTCTTTGACATGTCCAAGCTGTGCTAAGACTGAGTGATGCACTGATGTTGTTTTTCTTTTCCTAAATTTCTTCACAGCAAGCCCAACGCAGCAGGAAAAACACACATGTGTGCGCAAAAGCCTGATTTGTGCCTTCGCAATTGCATTCATCATCAGCGTCATGCTCATTGCAGCAAATCAAATGCTCCGCAGAGGAATGAAGTAAATTAATGGTGCCAGCAGGACATAAAGGGATCCTACGTTGGGGAAAAAGAAAACCATTAACCAAAAAAAGCTCTCATTTTCTGTTTTACATCATAGTTGAAATGATGCTTTCACAGCCTTTCTCTACAGCATTAAGGATCAAATGATGTCACAGTGGTTGTAAGAGACCGCTTCTCACAGCTTACCAAGATGAAAACGAGAAATGAACTACAAGGGCTGATTAGTGTTACCAACACGTTTGGAAAAGAAATTGAAGCAGAAATCAGAATGTAACTTTAATACTCTAGAGCTCAAGAGCACAGCATGTGCTGAAAAGTAGTTGTGGTGCATGAAATCCTTCAGTTCTGTAGTGAAGCTCATATCCATCTGGAATGCACCAAATAACCAAGTACCAATGACAGTAATAAAGCAATAATAATGTGAACCACATATTGTTTCACTTTAGGTTACAGTAAACCCAGATTCCATTGCACATTTATTGGCACCACTGGTTTTATATTTTTGTCTTGCAAATCTAGGTATCAAGGTAGATTTAATTTCCATTACTCTAATTGTGACTTCATACACAGGTATAAAGCTTACGAAGATACACGTAATCCTTAGTATTGGAAAAATGGGAAAACATGCTATTTATGTTAGAAAGATGTGTGTTTTAGGTTAGGTAATGGCTTTTCAGTCTGCAATACCAAATCACAAGGTTCTAGGATTACAGAAGGTCTGCAATCTCTCCAGACCTTCTGGATATTGTGGTTTCTTCATGTGCTTCATTCAATGCAGTTCAGCCGACAGGTTTTCTAGGCTTTACAATAAGTCTGGACATTGAGATTATGGTTGGTTTAATGTCTGGTGAACCACTTTCACATCTATTTAGGGATGTTTGTTCCCTACTATCTTCTTAATCCATATTTTTGTTTTAAACAATGCAGTATTTTGAACAGGTTGCCATACCATGAACCTTATTTGTCAGAATTTCAGTTGTTTTAAGCATTTTGGTGGCTTTTTTTTTTTCCTTCTATCAACTATTTTCTTACTTATGAAACACATCTGCTTAAATGTCATGTATTCTCTACTTTCTATTTTGACAAATGAGTTTATTTATACTCCAAAGAATATTAGGTTATCAGATATTCTGATCAATTGAATAAGTATAAATTAATAAATTATTTCATCAGATTTATTTGTGGGATCAATCAGAGGTGTGTCAAGGTGTGTAGCAAGTACCTGTAAATTTAAGATATTATTCCCACCAGCGAATAAATATATAATAAAAAGCTACATTTTTATAAGATTTTCAATGTTAAATTATGATATTGCAATAAAAAATAAATAAAAATATTTACTTTAAGGCCTTTCACACTTCTTGAACTGGGATGCCAGTAGGTTTTGAGGGTTCTGCTAAAACTTCACGTCCCAGAAAAGTGTTGATCTCTTATCCATCGCACAAATCAAGAGATTTTATGCTCACAACCTGCCTTCAATTCATTCAAATCCCAGTTTGCACATTTCAAATCTGTGCATTTATACCACACTTTCAAAATGAGCATCAGCAAAGACAATTTAGCTGCAGAGTGACCCATTTAGAATAAATAGAACCGTGTTTAGAACATGTATTACCTGTGATATTTATAGCAAATGAATATGATGTATTCTATGCGGCACACTTGCATGTCAAGAAATAAATGTGTGTTGTATGTGGGTGATATAGATCTTTGAGGTATTTGTTCAAATAATTATGCAATTTGTTAAGTGATAATTGCAAAAAAAATTAAAAATGTGACATTTTCTTGTAAATGTCATTTTTGTCAATGTGCAAACAATATCAAAATACTAAATTCTTTGCAGTATGCTGTGAAAAATGATTTAACATATCATGGGGGGAAAAGTTATTTTCTGGCTTTTACATAGAGTACTTAGACGACATATTTAATTATATGACATCATTATATTTTCTTATACTTGAATGAGGTATACATTAAATCAATGTTATTTTGTTATCGATATATGCATAAAGTTTTATAAAAACATACAAAAAACCCACAAAAAAATAATGTGTCTGGACATTCAGATACAAGTTCTGTATATTGAGGCCAAGCACTTACATTAACTTTTAAGATTTGTTAACTTTTAAGGTTTTCTTCAGATTTTACTAAACGATTCTTATTCATTTCTTAAGTCAGTTCAGTTTCTCAAAGCTCTACCACAAAGTGAACAGCATGGGTAGGTGAGAATCACTCTGGCAATAAAATATTTATTTTATTCAATGTAGCAGTTTGGTGTAAAAAATGATTTATATGACATTGCTTTACCTCTTCATGTGAACATATCATGTAAAAATGAGCGTTATGTGGATATAAAATGTAGTCGCTGTGCCAAATATTGTCCAATGATGCACTGTATTAACAAATATTGTCCTGTTTTATGTGTTGATGTATTAATGAGATTAAATATTAAGTCTACTTGGTCAAAAATGATTTAAACTTTGAAAGGATTTCAAAGTTTAGCTAACTAACGTAATTCTTTTAGGTCAAAGCATTGTGCCATCCAACTGTGATACATTAACTATGATTTTACAATGTAAAGAAATATCTGCTGTTTTATTTTATTTTCCCTCTGTAAAGATCACTGCATCAATTTATACACTATTGTAAGTGTTGTCAAGATGCATGTAGTCCAATAAAAACAAGTGCAATAAAAATCTTGTAGCGCTGTCTCTACTAAAAAAAAAATAAATGAAGGTGAGGAAGCTGCAGAGATGCAGGGTTTATTGAGGACATTTGCATGCTGTCAAATCAGAAAGACAAATGATTCAATTATGAAGGGAAAATATGGTGAAAATTGGGCATATGCATGAGACCTCGGGTTAGAAAAACAGTGTGATTCTGAATATATTATATATTCAAACATGTTGCCTGAAATAAGTGCAACCATCAGCAAAATACATCAAACTGCAGCTATTAGGAAGAATCATAGATTGAAAAATAACTGGCAATGTTTTTTGGAGCTTTTTAAAACAACTGCATATTTCAAGATCAACCATTCAAACAATCAATCATTGGTAAACACAAGATATCACCACAAAGTCCAGAAGGAGAACCAAATTGCCAATCTTAGAAGAAAAAGATTGGTGGAGATGTGCCTGAAAAAGTCAGGAACCACAAAGGATCAGACCTATTTTGAAGTTTGATAAACAATGTCATTGTTCACATTGAAACAACTTTTACACTCTCATTAATTGAAAGGCACAAAAAGAAAACAAAAAGTCATTGGCTTCAAAATAAATGGCTCAAAGCTTGACAGAAATTTCAAGCTGCCCAGAAGAAGCCAATTGCAAACGGCTGAATTATTTGTCTCCAATAACAGCAATTTCCAAGTATGGTGCTGGCTGTGATCACGACAAAACAAAACACTTCAACAGCTAGACGACCAAACATGGACATAGACAGATGTTCCAACAAGGCAATCCCAAAACCTCATCCAAACATGAGTCGAAATAGCTTAAGTTTGCTTACATTAAGCTTCTGGAATAATCATCTCAAAGCTTTAATTCAAGTTTTAAGTAGGAGCTGAGCCAGAAAACCAGCCAATTTAAATTAACTCTACAAATTCAGCTAACAAAAGCTTCCTACATTTCTGTTAAGACGTTGAGAAAGCTTGTCCTGACACCCACTGAAAAGTTAAAATACATGACCGCCAGAGTGATTGTCAATCCTTCCTGTACCAACATAAAAACCGTCTTTTCTGAGGTCACCTGTTAACCTAACATGACTGTTTCTCAACTGTGGAAGGAAGTCAGTTCCGTTTCAAAAGCACCTGTATAATCTAATGAAAACAAATAAAACAATACATATTTTGTAATTTTTTTTCCTTCTTTTATTAATCTTCACAATAACTTAAAATCCCTTATATTTTTTGCTTCAGTACAGCAATGTAAATGTTAGTAAACAGATGTATTTCAGGGGATTCCAAATATGCCTGGTGGATTCTTGCTCAAACTTTTTCCTTCAATCTGAAGTTAGACATTTAGCAGAATTTTATATCACCTGAAAACATGAGCATATCCTCAAACAAAAATGTGAAAAAGTCTCTTTAAAATAAATGTCCCTCTAAAGACATCATGTACCTAGTTATTGGGATTCGAACCCTGGAATGAATGTTCTTCAGCTCCACTCGCTGCTTGCGCTGACTCTCCATCCACCTAGAGGAGGAGGCAACAGTGAGGGTGGGAGGTCAGGAATGGAGAAGAGTTGTGGAGGAATATCACTTTCTGCTTCATCCTCCTCATTGTCCTCCTTGGTTTTTGAGTCTCTGCAGAGATAAATAATTAAACGATTGAATTCAAAATGAACAGAACCAATAATTAGGTATGCGAACCATGTAGACCAAAGTATTAAAGTGAAAAGGAATGCACATACCCTTTGCTACCAAGAGCAGCTTGCTTCTTTTCCCTTCTGGAGAGCCATTCCTCTATACTTCGCCCAGAGATAATTCTGTCCTCAGAGTCCTCTTTGTATTGTCTTTCCTCTTAAAATAAAGAAATATTGCATTCATTACAATAGAAAAATTAAATACATTTGTGTTTCATTAATATCTTTGAATATGTTGAGCATTTCTTTAGTTTTAGTGTTAATCTTTCATTTAAAAAAAAAATTAAAACCACATTGCCTGTTGTGTCAATAGGATTTTTTTTCTTTTAAATAAGACCAAAAATGGTGTCATTATAAAAGAAACCATCACTTCTGAAATTCATATCTACACCTAAAATCATATGGTACACAGCACCACCTTGTGGCCACTAATTACCTTCCATGTGTCTTTTTAAGTTGAACAGATCCTCTTCAGACATGTGAGAAAATCTGCAGTTTGGGCCAAAATCGCATATTCCTAAAAAAAAAAAAAAAAAAAAAAAAAAAAAAAAATTACTGTGTAAAATAACACTAAATTTTATTATTTTATTATCAAATATGATTGGATAGTATTTTTTTTTTTTTTTGGAGAATATTAGTTTTTTTGTTTGAACATTTTTTTCACCTTTTTGGAGAAACTTCCTGCAGGGTTTCTTTATTTGCTCATCATGGAGAACAGCAGCAGAATCTGTAAGAATTAGAAAACAGTTCTGTGTCCCTTATAGTTGCTTATGAAGCTTTGCACTGTAAATGTCAATATTGGGGATCCCAAATAAAAGCTCACATATATATTCTTGCTTGTTATCGGTGAAAATGAAGAATTCATCTTGTCCCAATTCGGCTTGTCTTTCAATAATATATTCAAACTAAAATAGTTAAACTTTGATTTAACTCATCAATTCCATGCAATGAACACTGATTGTAAAAAATGTACTGCAGACTCCTTGGTAGAGGTAGCAGTTTAGAAGTTGACAGAAAAACAACATATTTGTGGCTTGTTTCCTGGTGGGATCTGCTTTCAGGTAATTGTCCACTGATCACGTTTCTCATTTAGGAGTTAACTAAAATGGTAACTAGAAGAAAAAGCACATCAAACAAATGTCACAAATTCCTCCTCATCTCACCTCTGAATTGGTCAAACCAGGCCTTCTTCGCTCTGTGATGCTGAACACCATTTAGATGTTTCTTCCTGTTGTGCATGTTGTCCTGAAAGGACCGGTCACAGTAGTCACAGTAATACCGCTTCCCCATGGTGCTCCACTCAGAGGGCTGTCAATAAGTGAGAGAGTAAGCAGAGAGAAAAAAAGACTAGAACAGAAATAACATTTCTGCTAGATGATGGTGAATGAAGATTTCCCTCATTTGTCTTGGTATATCAGCTTCTAGGTATTAATACAAATATTAAATAAATGTTTCCATCAGTCTGTCAAGGATTTAGACAAACCAGCCATAGTGACACTGAATTGTTTAAAAAATAATCAGAATTTATTACAAAAGCGTCAAAAACGTTTTCCAAAATTATGAATTGGGCCCAAAACTGAGGTCAGCATGACAGACTTCAACACAAGCACAAACTTACCTAACAAACAAGACATCAGGCGAACTTAAATAGTGGCTAATCAGACAAATAACTAACACACACGCACACAATTCTTAAACAGCAAACAAATACTGGTCAAAACAACATTAAGCGATTTTAAATTAAACAAATACTTCTGGAAAAGAAGTAGCTGTTTTGGAAACCATCTGGAACATTAAGTGGTTTACTAATATGCCCTCTGACATACCGTTAAATGTTAATTGTCCTTATACAGCACTGACAAAACTCCACTGTGGCTCTTAAGCGTTTGCTATAACATGTACCAACATTTCAAAATCAAAACACGGCTTTTCTGCGGTCACTAAAACATGTTTGTAGCTTTTAGCTGGTAGCTGTGAATAAGCTGGGAAAACGGAGACCTGAGCAGAGGAAGTTGTCATGTGTGTCCACTTCCGCTATTGCGCAGTGCACATTACACCGACGACATGGCGCTGGCTAAGACCGTCTACAATCTCCTCTTCAGGAGGACGTCCACCTTCGCTGTGACCATCATGGTCGGAGCCGTCTTATTTGAGCGGGTGTTTGACCAAGGCGGTGACGCGATTTTTGAGCAGATGAACCGCGGGGTAGGTCCATCCCTGGTTGTTTTTATCGGCGCTGACCTTGTGAGGACAGGACGAAGCTACTGTTAGCTTAGCTTGGCTAGCCGAGTCTGTTAATGACTGTTGGTTAAGTTTCGTCTTTTTGTATGAAGTATCTAATATTACCTCATTGTGACTCGTTACAGAAACTATGGAAACACATCAAACACAACTATGAGAACAAAGAAGAGTAGGACGCCACCCTCGGATTCATAAGGCTGGAGTGCTAATGTGTTGTCCAGTTTCCATCATCATATATTCCTGGATTCAGCACCTGAATGAAGCAGCTGTCATCTTGGACAATGTGCACTAAGTCATGCCCAGGCTGGAGGAGGCTCTGAGAGGACCTGCGGAGGCTGCAAGGCTTTCCCGACCACCAGGGAAATGGATCAAAGCTCGTCCTTTACCCTTGAAGATGTTTCTATTGATTTCATTGTCTTCAGATTGTAAATTGTTATATTAAACATGTTTCAGTGTCATGCAGGGCTTTTGTTTTGTTTTCTTCTTGTGTTCTAGTTAACTTAAATGTCTATGTCAAAGTGTCTCTATTGCATTTGATAAAGTAACTGCTTTATTTCTCTTACAAGAAAGCCTGTTGCACTGTTTAAGGTTTTTATGCAGTCTGGAAAACCAGTCTTTCCCTAGTTTGAATAAGTAGGAGGAAATAGGAATATAGTAAAATAATTACATCAGACTATTCTCTATCCCATTGTCTAATTGCTACATCTTTGTGATGTCTCCCTCATGATGTGATACAGTGACTTTAAACTGATGGGGTTTTGAAAGTAGAGTATTGCTTAAACATGGACATGGTGTGACATAAAACCCCAGGTATAACTATGACAATATAAACTTAATACATGCTTTGAATAACGCTAACCATATATTTTGCAAAACAACACAGGTGCAATAATTTAGTTTATTGCCCAAGTCAAAATTATATTGTATTAATAAAAGGTAACTGGTAATATTATGTGAGATTAGCCACACCTTCTGGAGGCTTTGCATGCAGGTGACTATTAGTCCTCCAGGTTTCTCACTAACACTACAGGTAATCAAACCCATGGCAGTTCTAGCCAGGGGTTTCTAATCATTTACAGTCGACCCAAAGTGGCACCAGTGTCCAGATGAGCACTTGCATTGGATAAGGCATTTAGTTTTGGCCAGAACTCTGAATGCTGATAAAGACAAAAACGCAACAGACCAATAAAGTTTCAAAGAAAGTCTGACTTTGATTTAGTGGTTGTTCCTGCATGGAGACTGCTGAGAGACTCCCTTCTTTTCTTCACCTAAAATATATTTGGTTTACAAAGAGATGCTAACAATGCTATTGAGAATACTAATGTTCTCCATCTTTTTTTCCCCCCGACCAATAGATAACATAAAGATTGTCTATGCTTAGATGGAAAAGAAAGGTTTCATAACTCAAATTGTGTTTTAAGACATCTCTTTTCTGTGCAGAAAATTCAGACATACATTACTCAGTAGATATTATAAAAACCTATCCTTATTTCTTAAACAAAATTGGTATAGCCCATGGAAAATATAAACAATGAATCAGATTTCAGCTTTAATTATGTTTTGTGCCAAACTTTTATTGAAATTCTTAATCGACACAGACTGAAATCAACCAGAAGGGATAGAAAACACGTATCATGTCCAACTAACACAATACCAGAAGAAATACTCCCTGCCTAGTCAGAGGTTTAGCATTTAATCCTCTGATTGTTTAGATGCTAAACAAGGGACTAAATTTACACTTTAAACTGAAATCCATTAATGAAACTGTAAACACTGTCAGAAACTACAATTTTTAATCATTCAAGTTGTCAGAAATGACTCACTTATTTAGCTCTAAATAAATAGCTTTTAGTATTAATGCATTTTACATTTAACAAACAGACATAACAAATATGTTTATTTTCATCTTTTTGTGAAAGCTTGCAATGTAAAAAAATGAGTGAAGTGCAGCAAACCTCACTTTTGTTTTGTAGAGAAATTAACTTTAATTCAGCTGACAAGAACTGACATTTTAAATTAGTCATAAACATAGCGTTTGTGAAATGGACATCCAGCTGTTAAATTCCATCTTAAAACATTTTTACAAAGTTAAGTTAAATTATACAAATAAAACAAGGCACTTATAAAATATAATCTTTCAACCAAGCCCATAGCTTAGTCACCCAGAGGCTTACTCCCAAGTCTGATAAGTACTGGATCTCAGGTGTGAGCATTTTTGCACATATTGTTCTGCTTTCAGGATTAATGTCATTTCTCAAGTTGTATCCCATGATGGATTTCTCTCCAATGGGCTGCCAAGGCTTGAAATGCGTGTCTTTAATCTTCTGAGCTTCAACTGCATCTCCACCCTCAATGCAGGTGGCCCTCATCTCAGCATTTCTTCTTCTCAGCTCATTTACATCTCGTTCCATTCTTGTTCTTCCATAAGCCTCCACTCTCTCCCAGAAAGAGGCATTAAAGTGTTCATAGAGTTTCCAGTCGGCCCAGTTCCACTGTAGGGCTTTGGCTCTCATCTCAGGGTCCAGCCGAGACACGGATGAGGTTCTGCGAACATTGAGCTTGAAATACAGGATGTCCTCTATGGACCAGCAAAGTAAATCCTTAAGCAGAATCAGAGACTCATCAAAGTATTCTGCTATAAGAACCAGATGAAAACGTTTGGATAAATACTGAATCTCCTTCATGACATGAGGGTCATTGACTTTAAGGTTGTTATCAAAACCGAAGTCAAAAAACAGCAAATTTTTGAGATAGAATGAGTTAATAGCTTCCGGACTGTAGAAAGCCTCTGGATTGTTCAGAAACTGAGTCAGTTTGTTATTTCCACTAATGTGCCAAGTAAGAGGAATTAGTTTTTGGTAATAATGGAAAGCTGACTCAAAGAGATCCACTGGGTCACGTAAGATGGTAACATACAATGCATTTGGAGGCAAGAGTTTGGACACTTCTTGATAGTTGAACCGCATGTGGTTGCAAACAATGTTAAAACACGCCCCCGGCCTGTAGTCCTTCACCTGGGAGCACAGGAATGGCTGCGGGTAGCAGAAATCATTGCGTCTGTCAGGTAAGGCAAACCTGAGCTTGTGCTTTTCCCCAAACCTGTACAGGATGTTGAGGATAGTGCTGCTTGCTGTTTTATGAGTCTTCATGAACATGATGTTCACTTTGGGAGAGCAGTGCTGCGTAGAGTCAGGGCTTCCGGTGACGTCACCTGAACTTGTCTTTGCCATGCTGAGGGGACACGTCTCTTCCTGTGTGGGACTTTGAGTGAAACAAAAAGTAGGGTTACTCTTTCTGTAGTCAGAAATGTACATACACTTTCGGCCAGGAAGCTCACATCTAGGGCTTTCAGATATTTATTTTGAAATGATGGTACATTTCTTTATTAATTCCTAACCTGGAATTTGAAGATTGTGGATTTTCTTTGATCCACACAGAGTCAAAATTATACTTTTTGTTGACCATACACACCTTGTGAGGTATTCAAGTACCTTCAGAGGTACTTGGATAAAGCCCTTTTTGAATACTGTTCCTTGCCTAAACACTTTTTATTGCCATCAACATGGTTTTGTCATAATTCTGGCTGGATTTTTTTCACCATCTTCTTGGCAGAATTGGAATAAATTAAAATGAGCTAGTTGCTGACACAGACCCTGTTTTTGAGTGTAGTATAGTTCAGTGTAAGTCTTACCATTACTCTGCTTTCCCCTTTCTAAAAACCCATTTGATGAGGGTTCTGGAATTATTGTTCTCTGATTGCGTCCACATTTTTTACTCCTGGCATTAATTTTAGATAAAGTTGAAGAGATTCGCCTGTTTTATCAATGCATCCACTTTGAACAAAACACCACTTGTAGCAAAACAGCCACACAGTATGCTGCTACCACCACTATGTACAGTTGGTACGATGTTTTAAGGTTTAAAGCTTCTGCTTGACTCATCCAAACACAGTTCTCATGACTAGTGTCAAGAGGCTTCATGTTTATTTCTTGTTACCATCAACCTTGTCTCTAGCAGACACTTTCTTGACCATGTGGGCAACTGCAATTTCTTCAAAGCTTGAAAGGATTACTTCTCAACCTGTTAGTTTATAACAGTGGGAAATCATTTTCTCTGGAGATGACGTCCCTCGTCTTTACAGCAGAATTATGACTCAGAGTGTTTATAAAAGTTGTTACAAATGTCCTTTTGTTCCAACCAATTTGAGTCAGTTGGTTGGAACTAGGATACAACTATATTTTCTAATAGGACAAAGTTCCCAAACATATCCAAACTGCTTTTGGGATGGATTAAGGCAAAGCAGTGATCCAAACAAATCTGTGGATTATGTTTAACAGGTGGATTAGAGCCAATAAATCATACAATTTAAATTAACTCTATACCACTTCTGCCGAAAAGAGTGATCAAAATCAAACTAGATTATGACAAATGATTGCTGACGATTGTAATAAGTGCATATTGAAAAAACAACTCATTAAGATTTATTCAGGTTTTTATAAATTGGGCTCTGTATTTGAACCTTTATGTAACGTTTTGATCCTGTGTGGATTAAACAAACATAAACTATATGTAAACCTTTGAAAAAAATCTCATAGTATAATTAGTACACCCTGGAAAAAAACTATTCAAATAAAATAATTTTGCAACCAATCATTAATAGGGTTTATACCAATGATGAGCACATTTGTGTATTGACTGACATTATTGAAATCCATTTATTTATTTCATTAATTTACCTTATATTTTCTTGGTGTGCCATTGTCAA